AGAAATATCGGTGGGTTGTGCAGCAGTAGATTCATTAATAGGTGGCGGTATACCACTTTCTTCACTTTATATCATCGATGAGAATAAAAGTCGAGGCTATGCAACTATCCTTAGCAAATATTTTAGTGCTGAAGGTTAGCTAAATTAAATTTTAATATTATCTGAATCGAATATGTAACAATTATTTAGTACTATTAAGACTGCTTAGAAGTGTAGTATGTTTACTCCTGGTGATATAACTCAACGTAAACTAGTGTGCTTAATTTATTAATATTTCTTTCATTTCTGATGCTGAATTTAATTCTTGTTTTATTCTTATTAACTGATATATTTTTAAAAAGTTTAAAAAGGTATAATCATTTAGGTATATTTTGCGATCATTCACTGTTTGTTGCAAGCACAAATCGTAATCCACGAGAACTATTAGAAAATTTACCGGATCGAATAAATGTTATGGATGAAATTACTTTGAAGGATGATGTAGAGAGACCCGAAAATTCAACAATGAAAATTGCATGGCGTTATTCAGCTGTTCCAAAATTGGATTCTTCACTATCTTGTCCTCGTCGTGGGCATTCACAATATGATTTAGCGAAAAAAATGGATCGCAAAAAAATAGAAGCATGCAACATTTCGTTCTTTCCTGATAATACGGAAGCACAAGATGAATTATCTAGTTATAATGATCTTTATAAGCAAATACAGCAAAAACTTATAGGTGTTGAGTATTCGGCTACTTCTTTGAAGTCCAACAAACGTGTCTTGCGTATAGTCATAGAAGGTGAGCGAAATTTTCTAAACGATATTTTTTTTTCTGTTATTTTTTTGATTCCCAATAACGATAAAGTCGCTTAGGTGTTGGTGGTCCTTTTTGGCTAGATCCTGAAAATGATTTAAAGTTTATTGCTCATTTACGTACTGTGTTATGTTCCTATTATGCTGTTGCGATGTTAATTATTAACACGAGTGGGTTACCGGATGAACGAAAAGTTTGTTTGTTTATTTTGAGTTAAAGACATGAATTTATTGTTAGGATTTTTGTGCACTCATATTTGAGCTATCTTTCACATTGGTCGTGGACTTGACGTTTCTTTGTGATATATAGTAAGCCCACTTGGAATTGTCAATTTTTTTTTATCGTTTGAATAAATTTTTTTATATCGAACTTCGACGATTTGTATTGTTTAAAAAAGTTCCGAGTTTTAACTTTATTTAAGGAAAGACTTTATGCATATGGTGACTTAGTGGTTCATTTGGATGCTGTAGATGATGACGATATCATGGAGAAGTTTGGTGACCGTTTCGATGGCTATTTTCGTTTGTTGAAGCTTCCAAACATGGCATCAATTGCAACGCACTGTCCAGCGAGTAGTGATCTTATTTTTCAACTCCAAAAGCGAAAATTTGATATTAGGACTTTACATTTGCCACCAGCACTTGATGATGATGATAGAAAGAAAAATTTTGGCCCAAACTGTCAGGAAATATTAAAATCTTTTTGATATTCCGGTGATAAAATATTGGTGGCTTACTGTTTCTCTGTGTGGTAACAGTAAATTTAGTAATCGTAGCCCATGTTATTTTATATTGTTATTGTTTCTTTTCCGATATGTATATATATATATATAAATAATTTTTATCGACATTGATACTGCTGTTCACTGGCTTCCCATTCAGGAATTTATTTTTTCTGGTTTCCATCTTTTCTATTTCCTAATAAATGAAAAGAGAGTGACAATTTCTTGGAATAATGGATTTTTTTTTTTTTTTTTTTTTGCGGTATTGGAAGAAATTACAAATAGCGATTTGTAGTAAGCAGAAATGGTTAAAACAGTGTGAATTTCGAATTTTTGTGTAGAATGTGGTTAGTAAGACAACAACAGTATTTTATATATGTATGGGATCGATCAATCAGTCTAAATTTGGCATTTCTGAACCACGCAAGAAGGTTCGTTTTCTGTTACTTGATTTTTTAGGAATTTTTGTACAAAGGTTGCTGGCCTCAGATAATTTAGAATTTTTCTAAAAATGGCTATTGATTGTTATTATTAAAAAGAATGACGATGGTGAGATTTTCTGCGCATTTTCCCGTTAAACTCTTCAGAATTTACTGCTTCTTGTATTCTATTTGCATGATTTCTCGATTTATTTAGACGTAAGAGTTGTGACATATCGAGTGAAATGCCAAGGGTACAATGTCGAGAACGTTATCAGTTGCCTGTGAAATTTGATTTCCGTGTCTGGTTTCCCATGCATATGTCTGTACAGTTGAAACGTATGATTGGTAAATTGAGAACAGTTGATCTTATCATTGAAGTAAGTAGGTACTCTAAATAGTCTGAGTTACTACTCTTAAAGAATTGCTACTCCCTTCTACAAAACTGTTATCTCTTCTGATGATGAACCTATGCTTCACAGTTGTAGCATGGATAAGTGTTTCAAGCAGTTCATTTTTCAAATGTGATGTCGAATCCCATGTTTTTTTTTTTGAATTTCTAGGTACATGATGCTCGAGTGCCAATCACTGGACGTAATCCTCAGTTTTATTCGTCTTTATATGCCATAAGACCACATATTCTTGTAATGAATAAAATGGATCTTATTAATGAGAATTTAAGGTTTGTTATGAGTATTTCTGAATACTTACATAAGTGTTCATAGTGTTCCAGATCTTCTCAACTTTGCTAGAATTGTTATCAGTACAATTTCTCATTCAGTTTACATGAATTAAAGTGTAATCTGTTAAAATGGATTCAAATTCTGATCTGATCATAAATGATTTCACTCATTTTTCTTTCTTCAACTGTTATGAAGTTGCAATTTAAGAAAACCAATCGAAGATTATTATCGTGATAACGGTATAACGAATTTAGTATGGACAAACTGTAAAAAACGTCTCAAGAAACCACTCGTAGACTTACAAAATATGATGTTACGATGTCTTCGTGAAGAACCACGTTTCAATCGAACCGTAAAGACAGAATACCAGGTTGATGTTCCCGTTATGTCTCATTATTTAAAACTATAATCAACCAGCTGTTAAAAAATTTATTGTTGAAATAAGTAATTTTACTGCTGTCATTGAAAATTTTCGCCTGTTAATAGTCAGCTATCAGCAACTATTAGAGAATATCCTAATTAAGCATAATTCAAGAGTCAACGCATGTTTTGAGTTCTTAATATTTTTACTTAATCTTGCTTTGATGTGTGAAAAACTTCTTATGTTGTAGGTTATGATAGTAGGCATTCCTAATGTTGGCAAATCGTCACTGATTAACTCACTACGACTAACCAATCTTGGGAATAATCAGAAGGCTGTTGAGGAAGGTAAACCATTTCTTAGATCATTTCGAAATTACTACTACTATAAGACATATTAGAAAACTCTTTTTTATTGAGTCAGACTGTTTGAGAATTTAAAAACGATATTTGATGGGAATTACGTCTCGTAGTTAAGAAGCATTTATCAGAGAGCATCATGTTGTCTAATTAATTTAGTAATTAGATTGTTTGCAGTTCAATAATTACACAACTGCTAGAATGTAAATATCGTTTGAAAAAAAGTGATTTTAAAAATTTGAGGCAGTAGACCAGGAGTAACAGTACGTGTTCAAAATCGTGTACGAATTTTTGATCAACCACCAATATATATAGTGGACACACCGGGAGTATTGAATCCATTAGCACGAGATGCAGATGGTGCAATGAAATTGGCATTGTGCAATCTAATCTTGGAAAGTGCTACACAAATTCACTATGTTGCTGACTATTTGCTGTACTGGTTAAACAAGTGTGTTCTTCAGTAACTATATTTCGTTTAGACTATCTAAACCTGCACTGAATACAACACTCAGTAATGTCTTTACTTGTACCAAAAATAATTTGAGAAGTGTCATCAGGGTACAATTCTATGAAAAATTGCAGGACAGGTGATTATTCTTATGTCGAAATTTTCAATCTAAAAGATGGACCATCGGATAACATACAGAAAGTGTTGTTGGATATTTGTCAGTCTAATGATATTCGTTTTCAAAGCTATATTGCTGGACAACGAGTGGAACGGTGGGATATTGATAGAGGAGCTAAATCTTTCACTGATATGTTTCGTAACAACAAACTACGTAATCACTGTTTAGATATTGATCTTTTACAGGATTATACGAATAAAGATGAATAAGTATGTTAAAATGCAAATTAGATTACATGAAATCGAACGAAGTTCAGATATTTTTTGTTTTTATTACTTCCCTATCTCAACCAAATAGGGTGAATATACTTCATATCAATCATTTCTTCTTTAAGAAACAATTTTAAACAAATTTCAAGTTAATTCTAACGAACTATAGATTATAGATTCATCATGTTTTCATTGTCATTTTACTAACTTGGAAATTCCTAAACTCTGACAAATGAGATCCATTCTTCCTCTTTTATTTCTCACTGAGAAAGTAGGTTTCCAATTTTCATAGCTCCATTTTTAGACTGAACTATGGCTGTCTCATAAAAAAGTTAAAAGCTTTGGAAAAGCTTGCATTTGGCAGAATGATTTCAGTTCTTTCACATTACACATTTTTTCCCTGTTAAATGCTTCACATTACATTTTTTTTCCTATAAAATGTAAAGTAATAGAAAAAAAAGCATATATATTCGATGATAAAAAATATCACTCGATTGCATTTTATGCATCATATATTCATTTCTGTATCGCACCTGAAAAAAAGCAAAGGTTGCAATTGTATGACAAGAATACGTGCTCATAATATTAGGATAAAAGTACAATCAATCATTCCAGTTAACCAATCTTATTTCTGCAACAGCCCCAGTAGTTTCTAATCTTTTTGTTTATAAATAAAGAAAAAAAAATATTTTTGGATGACTAGAAATCGTAAAATTTAGTACAACAACAAAAAAAACTCCCAAACACTCAGATTAAATCATCATTGCAAATGTTTAGTTTCAATTTCAATAAATGTTTAATGTTATATGAACAATTATTAAAATCAACTCGTACCGGCTTCTTTCAACAATTTTTCTAGACGTCCATCCTTTTGTGCAGCTACCGTGTCATCACCACCTCCAATGCATTTTCCACCAATAAAAACACGTGGAACTGATCTGGCTCCTGTTAACTGCAGTAATATATCCTAAAAAAAAAAAAAAAAAAAAAAAAAAAGAAAGAAACAAACGACAATAAGTAATAAAAAATATAAACATTAGTCTCCGCATGGTCAGGTCTGTTAACAACTTTTATACAAACCGTTCAGGCATATATTTATTTTAAGAGTAGCTTGGTCAGATCCAGTACTGTTCGTATTTTGTGGCTTATTTTCACTATATTTTAATGATTAGATGCTGTTTACGGTATTTTTTGAGGTTTTTGTTTATGATCGCCTTATGTGTTTCATTTTTATATGTTTCTGCTTTATATGTTGCATTGTGTTTCTTTTGATGGTTTATTATGATTGTCATTTTTTTTCGTTTTTTTCTTCGTTCGCACTAATATAATTTTTTTTCTTATGCATTTTGCTGGCATACAAGATAAACCTCGTAAGGTTTCCGACTATTCTTACTGCTAATTCTCTATTCCAGGTACATTCTTCTTTCGGTTCTATTATTAATCTTATTGGTTAAATTGTTTAATTATTTGTTGATTGAATCTATTCTTTTAAGTATTTCTTTTTATAATAGACAAATATATATGTGATGGAATAAATTATTTGTTAGTAATAAATTACGAACAATACAATAGCACAACAACATTTAATAAATTTGTTATTAAGCGAAGTACTTTCCACGTAACGTAATGAAGTTGACAAAGCTCACCTGGATTTTATCGCAGTCCTCTCTTTCGTCCAATTCAATAATTTTATATAAATCACCGCGCATTCGAAATGTACTTAGTGCTCGCTTTGCATTCCTGAATTGACAAAAATAGGAAATTTTATGTGTAAAATAAAAAGTAATAATAATAAAACATTTCCGCGTCATTAGTACAGTGAATGACCTTTAGGCTTGAAACGAAACTGCATGCCAAACATAATTGTAAATTAGCACCCAGAAGAAATTTCTTTCATTTAAATGAAAGATCTATTGATTAGACTTTCAGTGACTTTCAATAGTAGCGACATCTTTTTGATTTACTCAAATTAACGAAATATATTTGTTGTCATGTTTCGTTATTATCCAATATTTATCATAATATTAGCCTGATATAATAAGCAAAATGAATTTATAATCATGATCATGATTTTTGTTTAGAAATAATTACAAATAATCAAAACATACTTGCAATATGGGCAATAGCTTTTACTAAAAACAACAACCGGAGTTGATTTTGTTAAACTGGTAACAAATGTGTATGGATCTATATTTACATTCGATGTTCCTGATGATGTCTGAAATAATTGAACGATTAACTTAATCCTAGTATTATTTGTAATATTAATTCATTTTCTTTATTACTTGATGAAATATTCCAATAAAATAAAAACTAATAACGCAATATTTATAATAAATATTACCATAATTCCTTGTAGATGCTCTTGTTTCTTTACTTTCAAATGTTTATGTACTTCGACTACTTTATTATTCAATTCTTGTTGAGCTTTTTCACGAGCTATTCGTATACGATTACCGTATGCTTCTTGTAGTTCAGCGTCCAAAATATTTTTTAAACATCGCGAAATTTTTTCCAATTTAACATATTTTTTTAATGAAAAAATTGCTTATCCATAATAAATTAAATATATTTTATTAAGAATAATTACTGAAAACGTATGATCCAACAAGAATGGATAATTTCGAATTCCTGCATAATTGAAAAAAAAAAAAAGATCAGTTTTTATTTAACTATTGCTATCAGTAACAAAATACATCATTACTGAGAATGATATCAATAAGCTCTAATAATCATTTCTCTAAAAACTTGTCCTAAAGAAACTTTCTCAAAACAGCACATGATAATCTATCAAGAATTTGTTTTACGGCTTCGTTTTTTTCTTCACAATTTCGACTCAAAAATTATAAAATTTATAAAATGGATATAAATTGCTTATTAAAAATGAATAAAATGAACACATCAGACCAAATTTTTTCCTTCTTTCTAGCTCCTTTCTCTGTTGAATAACTTCATAGAACGATAAGATGAATTTTTTATACACAAAGTGAAATACTATAAGAGTTCCCAATATCAACCAACCGTACTCCACGAAAATATCTGCAATAACGATTTAAAAGTTTTATAACATCTAATAACTTAATTAAGATTACAATGATTTACAGTTAGCAGTGTCATTTTTTAAATGAAGCATAATACAATTTTATCTCACAGCTAACTGAGCCATTAATGGAAGAAAGAATGAAAATAACAGTACTGAGTTAAACTGAAGCACGAAAATTATTTATTCTAATAATTATATGCAATCATCACTAGCAACAAAAAAGCATAAATGATTGCTTTTTTCTTTTTTTAAAAGGATAAATTAAAATTAATGAGACTTCAATCTACACAAATAATCAAGTACTGTTGAAAACATAATTTTGTTGAGTATGGCTAAAAATTCAATTATCAAACATTTCGAGTTAATTAACTTCAACTTCAATTAAGAAAAATTAACCTCACGAAATAAAATTTCAGACGAAACTAAATTCATACACCTAAAAAAAAAAAAAAAAAAAAAAATAATGTTAAATAATCTGTGCATTTAATATGAGACGAAAAAAAGTAAACCAATATTTGAGAATGAAATACAATGATTTTCAGTCTAATAAAATGCACATACACATATTATTGATTAGCAGTAACATTTAATGATCAATTTAATTAGGGAAATTTTTGTTTCAATTTAATTATTTCATGGAAAAGCTAAGTTTTAAACACATGAATGGGTTTAAGGAAGAAAAACTGCAAAAGTTTCAAAAGTTAGAAAAATTTTTTTGTCCTGAAATAAAAAAAAAAAAAAAACGAAAAGAAAACTGATAATACCATACACTGATATAAAATTATCAGAAAAAAGTTAAAAAGTCGAAATATATTTGCAAATTCAGCATTTTCTTAGCATGTTTATATTCTTGACGTACTCAATGTTTGATGAGTGTTGAACACATCTTTACTAAAATCTTACTTATAGTGGAATTGAACGGTGACATTACAAAGAACAAGTTTCTATGGCAATTTTGAAATTTCTTCCGATGTCTTCCTCGTAGGCGAACTTTGCTGAAAGAGAAACTGCTCTTTAAAAAACCAGAAAGAAAATTGCTTTAAATTTCACTATAAAAATTAATTATAACTCGTGCTAAAGTTAGTAAATCATAATATTTAGGAATAGAAGCATTCAATAACATATAGAAAAGAAATCATTTTTTACAAAGTTATTGAAAGAATATCAACATAGGAACTTGTTTAATAATTTTCGCCTTTTGCAACAGATTTCACTGCAGCACGAAAATTTTAAATCAATGAATTAACTGTAAGGAATGAAATTTGGTAAATACGCCAACTAATTTTTATCATTCCTTGCTGCAAAAAAAAAAAAAAAGAGTATCCTACAACAATCATTCATTTGTTTCCTTCCATTTTTCATTCAACTAATTCCTTTCTACTCAATAACATCCTCTGCTTACTATTCTTTACTTTCTTATCGAATAAAACATGAATAATTTATTTGCTAATCAAACAGCGAACGACAATGCTTCTTTTATTTTTTTAAAATCCTTTTATTTCTTTCCATTTACAATTGCAGCAATCTATCCTTCTTTTTTCTTCTAATTTGACTTAAAAATATTTTATCAATTTTTTGCTTCAAGGAAATAACAAGGCAATGACAGTAACACTAACTACAAAACGATCTTCACAAATTATGGAAAAATACAAAAATAATAAAAAATTTTTCATAAGATAGATACAATTATTTGAAATACAAAATTTTAGATAGAACAAATCAAACTCTCACAACATTCATCATATATTTCCTACCAATTACTAGTAATAAAAAGAAAGATTAAATAAGACGAAGGATTGCAATCACAATTGCTCAGTGACAATAACTATCACTCGATGATGTATCACATCCAAAAACACTATTAGTATTAGTGATACCAAAAAAAAAAAAAAAAAAAAAAAAACATACACTAATAGTGATAGTAACAGAACAAAAGACATAACTCGTTATTTCAACCATCAGTCTTATTCCACAATATCTTAATCTTAGTCCTTTCTTAATATTTTTCTGGATAAGAGAATTAGCAAAATTTAGTCCAACAACGCATTAAAATCCAACACTGGATGATACCCGTTATCAGCAACTAATATTAATCAAGATATTATTACAGTATATTCTACAAAAGCAGAACAGTACGAAATACAAACAGCTAATCTTCACATAATTAGACCTGCTAATTAACAACTTTTATACAAACTGCTACATATATATATATATATAGATATTCAAGACAGAAAGAGACAAACTATCTATTACTAGCAACACAACATACAACTATATAGCACAACATTTCGTAAATTAGCTACCAAACAAACTACTTTCCATGCATCACAGAGAGGTTGACAAAGGTCACTTGCACTTTATCGCAATCCTCTCAATGAATTTTATATAGATCATCGCGCTTTTGAAATGTATTTAGTGGTTGCTTCGCACTCCTAAAATATTTTTGCATGAAAAGTATTCCTGACAAAAGAATAGAGATGTGTTTCTGATAAAATTAATAAAATAACACTGAAGAACTCTGGATATTTAAATATAGTAGGTTACTTCAACTTGTCTCTGTGTTACAAAACATTGTCTAGCAGTAAATAATCTGTTGATGCAAGATGAAATTTATTTCACTGCTTATATTGCATGTGAATATATCGGAAAAGGAAAATGAATCACATCCACATTGTGAGCAATGTGCAAACAACTCATAACATGCAGTTGCCTTATTGTAATTTGGTCTTTAAATAAATGAAGCGGTAGCAATCCCATCCCCAAAATTAATCAAATAAAACGAAACCTTCGTAATACCAACATGAATGGCCAGGAATTCTATGAAGAGTAATGCACAACAGAGTGATGATACGCACTAGTTTATGTTGGTATAAGGCTTGTCTTTTACTTGAGAGTATTCCAGAAGTGTCTTTTCAAGAATTAAAATAGGAACAACTCCAAACAATTTTCTAGAATTTTTATTAGTAAGACTAACTGATATGCTCGCAATAATGTCACCACATTGTATGCAATTATGAGTATTTGATGCGCCATCATTTGAAGGCGAAGCAGGACGGATGAACGAGAAAAAAAGATCACGCTGTGTTTCAGTAAGGTAGACAGGAATTTCTGAGAGATCCTTTGGAAGAGATGCTTCACCATTTGAATAGCGTACAATCTGAAGAAAATTTTAAAAAAGTGCAAGAAAAAAAATTTTTCTCAAATTCCCGCAGACTGATTTGAACATGAAATTAATGTCACAATGTCAAATGAACATTGCCAGTTGATGCACTAAAGCTTCATTTTTTTGAGTTGTTTTTTATCAGGGAAATAATCAACCCACCATAACTTCATCATTATTTTCTCGGATTGTTGAAAGATCTTGCTTGCGACGAGACTGCGACGCAGGACGCCCATCACCTGATGCTACGTTTGTGCTGGCACTTGTTGTCTGTCCCCTTATATCTTTCGACGTGCTTGCCATTTCTTCTTCATCTGCAGTTCATTTTATTTATAGCAAGAATTTCCCACATATTCGCAAAAGTCAAAACGTAATAGCATCCCAAGTGAGTAAAAACTATGACTAACCAATGTTAGACAACAAATCATCTCCATATTTCATCCTTCGAGCTCGTGGAGTATACTGTAAACGACAAGTTTTTTTGGTCTGAAAGTAGCAGCGAAATGTCAACAACAATTTTATGAGTCATATTAATGGTAGAAAACATTAGTAGTAAATTAATAACGAAAACATTACCATTATGTCTTTGGCACATTCCGCACCAGTTGAAGATAAGGGAAGCGGCGATTGTACTGCACCATCGTTCAATTCGTGGCTATTGCTCGCAACGCTGCTATAACAAACAAACAGAATTTTTCTAAGATTTGTCTTAGATTGCGAAGCATGAGACAGATTAAAAACATATCACAATGTTTGAGAACTAACTATGCGTTTTCATTTGGTGCAGGAGTGGAAGAGTTCGATGTTTCTTCGCTGCTTGCCTCCGACTGAATACCAGGAATGGCACTAGAAGGTTCAATAGGTGTTGAGCGTCGACTATTCGCACTTTTAACACATTTTGGTTGGGTCCCTGATGGTGATCGACTTTGTCCTGCTCTTGATGACGGTCGGCTTTGATTCTTTGGCTGTGCATATTCCGAATCTATATCATCGCCATCTCGATGAATGCGTTTGTTCCTAAATTTCATAAATGAACATGAAGTTATGAAAAATAAAAATCTCAGCATTAGTGTATTTCAGAAACTCATAACAAGTTTATAATAATATACAAGTGCATAACAAAAAAAAAAATCTTTAATAACAGAATCATTACTTAAAACCGGTAACATAGTTTTCATCAATCCAATTTGGTTTACGACGATGACGTGAAGGACGTCGTTTACGACTATCTTCAGCCTGAAAAAAAAAAAAAAAATAAAATTTTGCATAACCACATATATATGTCATTGACGATGCAGCAGTGACCAGATACATACTTCGTCACTATTTCCACTCAGATCGTCTTTCTTCAATGTGTGCCCAGCTTTTAGTTTCAGTTTACGTTCTCTACCACGTTTCTTCGGCTGTTCAGTCTCGTGCTTCTCGTTTTCATCATTTCCTTGCGAAGTCTTGAAAAAATCAAGTTTATAATACGTAGTTGGCGCACAGCAAAAAACAATGTCCAGTACCGGAATATTATTTAAGATCTAAATAGTTTTTCCAAAACAATTTGATTTACAATGTAGACGTGAAGGACGTTGTTTACGGTCCAATTTCTCCTTTCCAATGACTGCAACTGCTAAATGTTCATTAGTTGTTGTCTCATGACTTCTTAGATGCATACCTTGCAGAAACCAGATACTTGACCAGTCGATATATTTTCTACCACTCGTTTACGCGCTGTGCGAAGGGAAATCGAAGGCACATCTTTTTTCTTTTTCGAAACTGATGGATCCAATTTTGCAAACTTAAAAACGGATTTTTCCCCGCTAATGTTTGCAGTATAACTTTTCGAAAAATTAATGCAACGTTAAAACAAACCTGCTCCGTCTTTCCGTAACTAAGACGTGGACGCTCTTTCGATCGTACTTGCAACCTCGAAGAAGATTCATTTCAAATTCGAAACTATCTTTATCTCTGATATCTTGTTTCATTCAAACTTTTTTCTATCAATGTTTAGGTTCTTGTTTTCTCTCCCGTTTATGCAATTAAAACATTCCTTAAAATGAATCACACAACTTACAGATAAATCTTGTGCATTTAACTCATATTTACTGTCCTCCAACAATGGAGCCTTTTCGACATCACCACACACAACCGCAATGATGTAATCCACACGATCTTTTACTGCCTGGAAGTTATACCTGTGTTATGAAAGGCATAATGGTGATCCTAAAAAAATAGTTACAGCGACAAAATATACCAATTCAATATTTTCAGCCTCCATATTTGCCATCAGTTCTAGTACAGGAGCTGAGTCATACCCAATCTCTTCCGATCCATCAGACGACTCTTCCGTCTCAAGAAAATCATCGGATAATGGACTCAAGCTTCGTCCCCGCATTAGTACTATCTTAAAGAAAAATTTCCAGAAAATTAATGAAAGTCTGTTAAAGCTTTATTACGGCTGTGTATCAAGCTTAAACCATAGGTAACAGGTAAAAAGCAAAATAATTTCTACCTTTGCCTGCTTTCCCTTTCGGCCTCGTTTAAGTTCTTCGGATGTCGAACGTGCTGTAACGTGTTCTTGATAATAGTGTTCGTGCGCACTTTTCAAATGTTCGATCAGTGCAGTGTAACTGAAATATTAGCAACAGTGTATGACAAAGATCTTTGCAGTTATAGATACGTGTCACCAGATGCATTTGAATATTTATAATCAGCAACAACACGTACGTCTGAGATTCAAAATCACACAGATAACATGGGATTCGCTTGTTCGATGTAGCACGGCGATTATGTTTTACAGTAAGATGATATGCAAACGTGAAGAGTGATGAAAACGGTTGTTTTCCTTGCAATCACTGTGTGAGCAAGTAAGCAAGCTCAAATCAACCATCATTGCTTGATATTTGCCCATACGTTCCAAGATTTTAAGCTGAAATTGCAAAAAAACATTAAAAAGATTTACAAGCCATGCAAATTGATCTCCAAAAAAAAAAAAAAAAAAGAAACAAAAACAAAATAAAATACTTCTTCGGTTCCGACTTTCCGAGCGACACCATTCTTTGAGCTATCACCTTTACGATTTCGCAAATTCATTTCTCGATATCGACTTGAATTGTCCTGGGGAATAACAACCGCAACACGATCTGGTGGTACCGTATCCACTGTTACCAATGCATGAGGAATTGATTCCATGATCTCGAAAGGTTTACCTCATTCATATTTTGGTTTGAATTTTTTTTAATTCAATTTTTTTCAATCCCATCCTACTACTTCGAAAAAGTTACATGCAGCCCTGCTGTTGTTGCCATGCCACAAGAGATATGGGGAAGTGTGTATAATTCCAAATTGTGCTGTAAATAAATCCATACGGAATGGATCTAACCTAATTACTGACTTGACTTTCTAATCTATCATTCCTCCGCATACAGATATCGCGCCGCAAGATAGCTAATACAAGGTTTAACTGGTTGCTATAAGTGGACTAACTTCCGTGTTCGACAGCGGTAATGAACATTGTTTTGAGTGTTTGACGACATGGCTAAAATTCGTACGTTTGAAATTAGTTTTGGTGCGTTTTAGAGGCTGTGAATCGGTTTTTGTGCCAAACGATGTTCCTGCCTCTCCTCTGTTTTGCTGCTGTAATGTTCTTTCCTTTTTACTTTGGTCGCCGTCTCGAAGTTCTGAAATGGATTATTTCTATTGTAAGTATATCATTTTTAGTTCCTACCGCTATTTCATATACCTTTTAAACTACAAGATTTCCTTAGTTAATATCTAATAAACAAGTATAACTATAGAAAGATTCATTTTAGTGTGTTTTAATTTTAATTGACAGTAACTTCAGTGAATTTTGGAAATGTAATTTTTGAACTGAATAACATCCCCTATATTTCTTCTTTTCAAAAAGTGTTTACCTGCAAATGCTTTTTCGGCAAACTCCAGGGCAGCAATACAGAAGGCTGATGCAGCAGTTGAACATGACATACGACAATAGAAACGTTTATGCGTCACATAGTCCAAATAATCACGAAAAAAATTGCCGCAACAACTATAATGCTACCACCGAAAATCAAAACTTTCATTTTACGATTAATTTCGGAAAAACAACAAAAAGCTTACACAACACAACTTGCAAACTAAATCAAACTATTGACACAAATAACTGCAAATCCTCAAATAATGTCAAAAATGAACTTACCGACATTCGAGAACAATACTGCATTCGTTTGCCAATAAATATCTCACTTCAGCGGTAGAATTGTTGTATATATCTATTAAACCAATAACACCATCCAATCTTCCGGTTGGTATAGGAGGTTGTTGGAGGCCCAAATCATCAACACTTCGCGACATATCTCTTTGTACTCGTTGATATTATTGATATTTGCAAAAGACTAGAGAAACAAAAAAAAAAAGTAGCTTTAATTTGATTTCCAAAAAAAATAAAAGACCCAAAACATCTTATACTAACGAATGCTTATTTAATTCTCAACAATTTTTAGTCAAAATTTTGGTATATTTACTTGAATTGACTCATTTCCTTTCTTTTTCCTACAGTTTTGTAATAATTACATTTCTCTGTACAAAATACACCATGAAAATCATCCGAAAAATAGAAATTCTGAGCCATTACTAAAGATATATACCCCGGGATATTATGATTTCATACTGCGACGTGCGATCAACTTACCGTATACCAATCTCGGTAAATCGGAATTTGTACTATGCAAGTGAGGATTTCCGGAAGAGAGGAATACGTTTCGATATGAATAAAGACGAATTAAATTTCAGGAAATCGTAAAGGTATGTTTTATTCGCTAATGAAAGCAAAATAAACACCGCACTGCAAAAGGGGGAATGTTGAATATGCATAACTTAATCAACAGGACAAGAACGGAAGATACGACTTGACCAGAATAAATTCTGGAATTCAAAAAAGAAAAAATGCACTAAGATTAAAATGGCAGTGGATATCAACAAGAATCCATAAGATTTGAATGGGTAAAGTGACCTCTTTCCATCCTTATCATGAAATTAATCAAGTAAATTAGAGTAATGTTATTCACTTCACAAATAATGCCAGTTATTTACGTATTAAATCAAAGTAATAAGCATTTGGATGACCTAATTAACTGTTACAATACAATAGAAGTGAATGTTTTCAAAAAAATTAAAAGTAGTTTTAATTATTGAGATTAATTAAACTAATGAAAATAAACCGTTAAATGTAAAGATGGAATAAAATAGAGCAGAAGTATGAATGTTGAAATGATATTGTTGATACGATTAATATGAGCAAAGAATTACAAAGAAAT